TTAGAGTGTTGTCAGCAAGTTGAGAGATCCTCCCCAACTACTCAATGCTGGTGAGGCCACCTCTGGAATAGTGTGTCCAGTTCTTGACTCCACCAGGATTAGAGGGTCATTAGACTACTGGAGTAGGTCTACGAAGATGATGAAGGGACTGAAGCATCCCTCCTATGAGGAAAGTTTGGGAGAGCTGGGCCTGCTCAGCCTGGAGAAGAGAACACTGAGAAGGAATCTTCAGGGTGGGTGTCAAGAGGATGGGGCTAGACTCTTTTCAGTGGTGCCTAGTGATAAGATGAGAAGCATGGGCACAAACCAGAATACAGGAAACACCATCAGAACATGAGGAAAAGTTGCTTTCCTGTAAGAGTAACAAAGCCCTGGGACAGCTTTCCAGTTGTGGGGTCTCCCATCCTTGATGACATGCAAAAGGCACCTGGACATATTCCTGAGGCAACATGTTCTAGGTGACCCTGTTTGAGGATAGAGGTTGAAGTAGGTGATCTCTAGAGGCCCCTTCCAACCTCAACCATTCTGTGATTCTTTGTGTTATTCTGTGGTTGTGTGTGGGTAACTCACCCTCCATCTTCAGTGATTCTAATGAGACCTTAGACAACAGAATCCCATTTAGATATCTGTTACACACACATCAGTTTTGGCAAGAGGAATGCCACTTCCTGTGAGTTTGCAGAGTGTACAAGAGGTATCTGAATGCCATTGCAGGCCAGGACCTCAAACCTGGCAAGAGATGCCCAGATGAACTCATCTGAAGGATGTGTAAATGACCTCCCTCCTTGTCCCCATCTCAGATTGTTGCCTAGCTAAGAGGTAGGAATAGGTCCTCTCAGAGTGGGACAGTTCCACCTTTCCCAGATAACCCTTCTCTGATACGACAGTTCCTAATGCTGGCTTGAGTCTTTGTTTTTCAGAGAGAGACCATAGATAATTAGTTTAGTCTGCTTCAATGACTATTTCCCAGGAGGAAGAGGAGGGAGCAAAAGGACAAGAGGGAGCAAAAATCATGTCACGCCTCCAGCTGTGTCACTCTTCCGAGTATGGGCAGGCTCCTGGGGTGGAGCTCGTGGCAACCTGGCAGCACTGTGACCAGGAGCAGATCCTTCACAAAGAGCAGCAGAGCTCTGGACATTTCCCACAGGTGCCAACTTGAAACAATCAAGACAAGCAAGACAAGTGAGACTGAAAGAAGTTAAAAGATGGGGATAGAGGTGGGAGGATGTCTGAGGGCTCTGTGATGGAGAAATCTTCTTAGTCTCTAAAACAGTAAGTCTCTCCCTTGCTAGGCAATGATCATGAGGTGCCTTGAGGAGTCTTCTGAAGGTACAACCTGTACCATGGGTGATAGAAAATGTCAGGAGAGCTTTCCCCATTTCCCTGGTGTGGAAAAGGAGGTATTCAGAGCAGGGATTCCTTGTGACACTGTCAGAGTGTCCCTGCCACTGCACGGTGCTCTGTGCCTGGGGCAGTGACTCTACTGCCTGCAAGGGTCAACACTCAGCCTTCCTGGGGACTGCAGGGGGAGGCTCTGGGTGGAAGGGGAGGCCCCCTGCAAGGCAGGTCTCCATTCTCCATTTGAGAAGGATCTCARACTTCTCAGTGCCCTCTGTCTCTCCCTATCCCCTCCTCCTTCATCAGAAATATCATGCTTGTGCATGCTGATTCTGTTCTTGCCCCAGGACTGTGTGGCCAGCGTGGGATTCAGATGCAGTTCAGACACCAACTCTGTGGATTTGAGATCATCTGAGGAAGGGGCCAGAGTTTGCTGATGTGCACTTTGGTTCTAGATTCCTCTGTGCTCAGCCGTGTCCTTTCGTTCTGACRTGAGTGCAAATGTCCTGTACCTCAGAGGTGCAAGCAGAGGGCAGATGTGAACAAGGATGGACAAGGAGCTCTCCTCACTCGACATTAACACCATGGGGACTCCTTTTGTTCTTAGGAATCACAGTGGCTCACTCTGAGTGAGTGCAGGAGCTCTCCAGACGATCTCTATGTCCTCACAGCAAACTCAGCACAAAATGGAGCTCAAGTCATAAGAGCACAGTGGAGGTTTTTTGTGATGTGGAGAGAGAAACAGGGAAGGGAGTTATGCGAAAGTTCTGCTCCTGGAAGTCTGTATTAACTTGTCCACCTCTCTTCTTCCTTGCACAGTCCCCTTCAGTGCCTCAAGACAGCAGATGTCCAACAGCAGCTCCTTCAATGAGTTCCTCTTACTGGCATTCTCAGAAACGCGGGAGCTGCAGCTCTTGCACTTTGCAGTGTTTCTCTGCATCTACCTGTTTGCCCTCCTGGGTAATGGCCTCATCATCACAGCCACCTGCACTCCCCCATGTACTTCTTCCTTCTCAACCTCTCTGTCCTGGATATTGGCCCCATCTCCACTACTGTTCCCAAATCCATGGCCAATTCTCTGTGGGACACCAGGGCCATTTCCTACTTAGGATGTGCTGCCCAGGTCTTTTTCCTCTTTTTCCTCCTTTCAGCAGAGTGTTCTCTTCTCACTGTCATGGCCTATGACCGCTTTGCAGCCATCTGCAGACCCCTGCACTACGAGATCCTCATGAGCAGCAGAGCTTGTGCCAAAATGGCAGCAGCTGCCTGGGGCAGTGGTGTTCTCAATGCTCTCCTGCACACTGCCAACACATTTTCAATACCACTCTGCCAAGGCAATGTCATGGAGAAGTTCTTCTGTGAAGTTCCCCAACTCCTCAAGCTCTCCTGCTCAGACTCCTACCTCAGGGAAGCTGCTGTTATGGTATTTACTCTTTGTTTAGTGGTTGGGTGCTTTGTTTTTGGTGTGTTGTCCTATGTGCAGATCTTCAGAGCTGTGCTGAGGATCCCCTCTGAGCAGGGTCGACACAAAGTCTTCTCCATGTGCCTCCCTCACCTGGCTGTAACCTCCCTTTCTCTCAGCACCATCATGATTGCCTACCTCAAGCCCCCCTCCATTTCCTCCCCAGCCCTGGATCTAAGGGTGGCTGTTCTGTATGCAGTTGTGCCTCGTTCCATGAACCCCCTCATCTACAGCTTGAGGAACAAGGAGCTCAAGGATGCACTGAGAAAATTGCTTCAGCGGGTACAATGTCAGCACCAGTAAGTGTCCCATGTGCACCTCCTCCTCATTCCCASGGTAACTGGCATCAAGGCTCTTGTTCATTTCTTTCTTRCTTATGTTTCCATGTTAAATTCCTATTAAAGGAAAAAGTCTTTCTTGTTCATGTCACTTGTCCTCAGGAATCTTTTAAATCGAATTCAGAGTCCTGTTGAAAGAGAAAGACAGACTTCTCCCTTCACCAGCAAAGATGTGAGGACCTCATAATATGCTAGTGTCCGCTCAGTTCGACACCCTCAGTGCAGTGCAGAGAGTTTCCCTTGTGGTGTCTCTTTCAGCAATGACACCAAGGGCTCTGGCAAGTAAATATGGGCTGAGAGCCTGGGTCCCATGCCCATGAAGGGGGTGCAGCTCTCCTGGCCAGAGTCAGGGTGTGATCTCACGCTCATTCCTGCAAACCTGCCAGCATGGTATCCCTGCGAGCTCGTCTTATCCCTCTCCAGTGCTTCAGTGCTCACAGTGAAGTGGGAGTGGAGGGGACGAGATTCTGGACCTAACCTGTGGGGACAGACCCTCTGCTCTTCAGGACCATCCCCTCATTGCTACAGCAGGCATTTCCTGGCTGCAGCCTGGATGGACATGCCTCGTCTTCCCCAGTGTGTCCCCTGCAACACAGGAAACAACCTGGGATCTTCTCTTAGGCACCCTCTGTGTCCTGGTACCCTTCCCAAAAGACCTGCATTTGTATTGTAAGGACCATGGGGTGTGCTCCCACTCTGCTGTTCACATACCCTGGAGCCGAATGGCAGCATTTTTCTTTTTCCATGACTATGTGCACCTGTGCCAGGTTGAGGTATTTTGTGTTCACCACTCAGGAGGAGGTAGCAGGTGGGAAAGAGTGACAGAGATGGTGAGGCTCCAAAAGAAGTGGGTTGTAGGGTGSGGATATTATCTGCACCTGATGAATATCTCATTTGGAACATGATTTATAAACACCATCAAGGCCTTCCACTCCTCCTGCTTAAACATAATGCTGGGGGAGA